AAGGGGAAGGGAGGGGGGTCGGGGGGGGCATAGAGGGGAGATGTGGAGGGGACATGGGGAGAGGACGTGGAGCAGATGTGGAGAAGGTCTAGGGGGGACACAGAGGGGGGGGACAGAGGAGACATGGAAGGGATGGGGAGGGGACATGGAGCAGACATGGAGAAGGTCCAAGAGGGACATAGAAGGGACACGGGGACATAGAAGGGATGTGGAGGGGACACGAAAGGGACATGGATGGAATGTGGAGGGGACATGGGGGATGTGGAGGGGGGATGGGGAGGGGACATGGAGCAGACATGGAGAAGGTCTAGGGGAGACACAGGGGACATGAAAGGGATGTGGAGGGGACGTAGAAGGGACAGGGAGAGGGTACGGGGGGGACACAGAGGGGAGATGTGGAGGGGACATGGGGAGAGGACGTGGAGCAGATGTGGAGAAGGTCTAGGGGGGACACAGAGGGGACATGGAAGGGATGGGGAGGGGAGATGGGGAGGGGACATGGAGCAGACATGGAGAAGGTCTAGGGGGGACATAGAGAGGACAGAGGGGACATGGAAGGGATGGGGAGGGGACATGGAGCAGACATGGAGAAGGTCTAGGGGGGACATAGAGAGGACAGAGGGGACATGGAAGGGATGGGGAGGGGACATGGAGCAGACATGGAGAAGGTCTAGGGGAGACACAGGGGACATGAAAGGGATGTGGAGGGGACGTAGAAGGGACATGGAGAGGGTACGGGGGGGACACAGGGGAGATGTGGAGGGGACATGGGGAGAGGACATGGAGCAGACATGGAGAAGGTCCAAGAAGGACATAGAAGGGACAGAGGGGACACGGAAGGGATGTGGAGGGGACACAAAGGGGACATGGATGGAATGTGGAGGGGACATAGGGAGGGGACATGGAGCAGATGTGGAGAAGGTCCAAGAGGGACATGGAAGGGACACAAAGGGGACATGGAGGGCAGGCTGGGGGGGAATATAGAGGGGACACTGGGGGACATGGAGAAGACATGGAGGGGACACTGAGGGGACGTGGAGGGGATGTGGAGGTGGACATGGAGCAGACATGCAGAAGATCTAGGAGGAACATAGAGGGGACACCGAGGGGATATAGAGGGGACGTGGGGGGGATATAGAGGGGACATGGGGGGGGACAAGGAGCAGACATGGAGGGGACACAAAGGGGACATGGGGGGGGATATGGAGAGGATGTGAAGGGTTGATGGATGGGACACAGGAGATGGAGGGGACATGGATGGGACGCGGGGAACACGGAGGGGACGCAGAGGGGAGACGGGGGGCCCACCAGCAGGAAGAGAGTCTGGGTGCGGC